TAATAAAACTCCAGCAGGTTTCAATTTTTTTTTTTTTTGCAGAAGTTGACAAGTATATTCTAAAATACATATAGAAAATCAGAAACAATTTTGAGGAAAAAGAACAAAGTTAGAGGATTAATATTACTTAATTTTAAAATTAGCTTTCAAGCAGTTTAGAAAATAATCAAAACAAAGGGGTATTGGCACAAAGACAGATGTAGAGATTGATGCAACAGAATAAAGAGTCAAAGAATAAACTCACATACATATGGTCAATTAATTTTTGGCAAAAGCGCCAATAACTTAACTGGATAGTATAGTCTTTGCAACAAATGGCAATATAACAATTGGATATCCATATGGAAAAATAAAATCCTCAATCCTTACCTCACTACAAAAAGTAAAGTTAAAATGAATCATAGACCTAAATACAAGAGCTAAAATTATAAAACTTCTAAACAAAGCACTGAAAGTTTGTTTTTGTGAGTTCTTGTTTTGTTTTGTTTTTTCACCTTGGGTTAGTAAAAGATTTAATGGAACAATAACAACAAAATAAACTACCATTTAGAAAAGAAAAATGTGTGAATAATTTGATTTCATCAAAATTACAAACTCTTTTCTTCAAAAGACACTATTTAAGGGAATAAAACTGTAAACATTTGTCAAAATATTATCAAACTGTATAATATGAAAGTGTTTTACTGTACAAAAATTATGCCTAAATAGATCAAATTTTTTAAAAACCTAATTTAAGATTTTTAATCTTTAAGAATCTTAGGAGAGAACATATTTTTAAGTTTCAATTTCATTCATATTACTAATAACTACAACTTATTACATTTCCTGTGGTGGGTATTTTACCCATATTGGCTCATTTAGTCATCATATTTAAGTATAGTTCCATTTTTAGAGATGAAGAACCTAACCAAGAAAATTTTATTATCCATGTCACCCTGAGATGATGAACAGGGACTTTCAAAATCTAAAGTCCTTCCTTTCCCACTATGTTTTGTTGCATCTCAAGTATTTATTTAATGCAAACATGTTAACTGTATTTACATTAATTCATGCAGTCCTTGGAACCAAAGTGTAAGGTGCATGTCGTTATATCCATTTTCAGATATGGAAACAGACGGTAAATGATTTGCTTGGGTTACATGGCTCTTACAAATGGAAGCCAATCCTGCTGTAACTCAAAAGACTATGCTCTCTCTACTCTCATTGCCCCCTATAATGATTTGGTCTTGAATTGTCTGTGTGTGTATTCTAATAAAATTGTATTTTGTGGCACTGAAATCTTAATTTTTTAGAATTTTTAAAAACTTTTTTTAAAAATAATTTTAGATTTTCATAAAGTTTCCAAAAAAATGTATAGGGATGTACCATAACTGTTGTACACAATCAAAACCAGGAGCAAACTGACATTGGTACAATCCACAGATTCCAAAGTCACTCATTTACAAGCACACATTTCTGTGTGTGTGTGTGTGTGTGTGTGTGTGAGATTCCATGCAATTTCATCACCTTTGTGTAGCTTTGATAACTATCACTACACACAAGATACAGAACAGTTCATCAGCCCATGGCTAATGCTATCCCTTTATAGGCACTTTCATCCCTTTTTTCCCCATCCCTAACTCCTGGAAGCCGCTAATCTTTTCTCTATCTCTATAATTTGTTAATCTAAGAATATTATGTAAATAGAACAATGCAGTATGTAACCTTTTACTATTTTTTTCACTCAGTAAAATTCTATGGAGAACCTTCCTAAGTTGTTGCTCACATCAATAATTCATTTTCCTTGTTATTGCTGTGTAGGACCCTTTGGTATTGATATACCACAGTTTGTTGAACCATTTACCCATCAAAAGGCATTTAGGTTGTTTTTAGTTTAGGGTTATTAGGAATATAGTTGCTATTAACATTCATGTACAGGTTTTTGCATGAACATGTTTTCATTTATTTGGGATAAATGCCTAAATGCAATTTCTTAGTCATATGGCAAGTACATAGTTTTTAAAATGTGGCTGTACCATTTTACATTCTTACCAGCAACATAAGTGATGCAGTTTATTCACATTCTTGCCAGTACTGGTGTTATCACGATTTTTTAGCTTAGTCATTATCATGGAATGTAATGATATAACATTGTGGGTTTTTTTTTTTTGTCTAATAACTAATGACATTGAATATATTTTCATATTCTTCTTTGTCATCTGTACATCCTCCTCTGCGAAATGCTACTTCATATCTTTTGCCAAATTTATTTTTTTTTACTATTGAGTTTTGAGAGTCGTTTATCTATTATAGATACAAGTCCTATGTCAGACATGTGGTTTGCAAATATTTTCTCCCTGTCTATAGCTTGTCTTTTTCATTCTCCTAACAGGGTATTTCTTACTTGAATTGTTTTCTAAAAATATCCAGTGAATGTTAATTTTTCTAAGCAACTTTAAACAAGGCCAACTAGTAGTATAGAAACTATAGACTGTAAAGTATACTGCATTTCTACTTAGAGTTCTCTATATACAGAGGTCTAAGGTAGCACAAAATAAATATGATTTACTTAGCCCAATTTTCCTGCATCTTTTCCATAAAAAATATTGAAGTGGCTCACAATATTAGTATTCAAACAGCTGTCATACATATTTCATCCCTGGCCTTATCCTTTCCCCCTTTATCCTTTACATATTTATATGAGGATAAGAATATCCCCTCTCCCAAACTTCACATACCGGGGCCTGTCAACGGGTAGAAGGATAGGGGAGGGATAGCATTAGGAGAAATACCTAATGTAGATGACGGGTTCATGGGTGCAGCAAACCATCATGGCATGTGTATACCTATATAACAAACCTGCATGTTCAGCACATATGTCCCAGAACTTAAAGTATAATAATAATAATAAAAGAATATCCCCTCTCCTTTCCTTTCCGAAACCCAGGGCCTCTCAAGACTAATGGGAGGAAAGTTTATCTATTATAAAACTCAAGATATTTTGCTTAATATAGTATGGGAGATATATGAGGGGATCTTCATCCTCACAGTGCAATGACCTGATTTTCAAAACTAACCCAAGTCCTTGTCCAACAGCAGAGCAAGACAGAACAAACTAACACTAACTGCTCCAGATACAGAAAAAGTGGGACATTGGAAACATCTGGGTGGATGGGGGTAAGAAATTCGGATCAACGGCCACGTGATACACCCAGACATCCTAGGATTAAGGCCATGAGCCATGAAAGGAGGTTGGAGGACAAATGAAATAGAAAAAGTAAGTCATAGTATCTACAACCCTGTGGTCTACAAAGGAGTTTGGTTATACAACATGAACCTGAAATAGACGATGGATTAAAGTCTCCATTATTCCATGTAATGATAAAACAATTGCAAGTGATCATAAGACCATTTTATAATGAACTCCTTCTTTCCACTGTAAAGGGCATAGTGTTAGATTGCTTACCCTTTTGTTAAAATTCACTGGATGCTAACAGTCCAGCACTGGCTAAGCAGCGAGAACATAAAAATAAATGAAAAGTGTTCCTGCTTTTAAGATGTTCCTACTGTGGTAGATAGAGAGCTACAAAATACAATAGATAATATAGAAGTGTGTTTAAAAAAAAAAAAAAAAGGAATAACCGGTTCTTCCAGGGTGAATAGTAGGGTCATGAGGAAAAGACATTTGAGCTAGGTTTTGCTAGATGTTTTTAAATAAAATGTTTTTCTTCCATAATGAATATGAAACAATTAGAAAAAAATGGGAAAACTGAGTTTTCAAGGATGAGTTCTTCAGGAAAAAGCCAAAGCTTTTAGAGAAATTGGATTCATTCATTCATTCATTCATTCATATTCATTTAGCAAATATTAATTGTCTTCACTCCAAGCTAGATTCCAAGAATCCAACAAACAGTACTTGCCAAACGGAACCTGTTGGCTGGCGGGATGATAAGAGATCAGACAGTTGCCACACAATGTTAAAAGTGCCATGAAAAAGTAAGCATAGGGTGATGTGGAAGCACATGGTGCCTCTAATCTGGACAGATGGAAGATACTGAGATTTACAGTTAGGCAAGGGTCATTTTAAGCACTGCCTTATTGTATTTGTATTTAATAACATTTCGAAACATGGAGTAGAAGGAAAAGTGCAGGCAAACTATAAGAAGCTTCCAGGGATGTGTCTAACTTTGCAAATGAACAAAAATCTAATGTAGACATATCCTGGAAACTTCCCATAATTTACCTGCACTTTTCCATTCCCAATGTAGGTTTGGACATTTAACAAACAGAGGCCTCAAAGGGTTATCCTGTTAAGATTTTAGTAGATACAGCAGGGGCTTGAAGGAATGTTGATTCCATATCTCTTGGCCTCCTTTTATGAATCCAGTTCTGTGCTAGCTCTGTGAGTAAATGAAAATGCCTTCAAAATTGGGATGCCAGAGTTAGCCAGCAAAGCAACAAAGGAACCCGTATCAGCTAAGTGTGGGAAGGGAAATATGTACCAGTCGCTATATACTTTCATACGTTATTTTAACCTCATATCAACTCTATCAATTCAGATGATGAAACAGGGTTAAAGAATAGAGGCTGAGCACCTGGCTGTCCACAGACACAATGAGCCAGCAGGAGCACCGCGGCAGCGCCCGGGGCCCTCCGAGAGTTCTGGCCTTAACGCCTAGAAATGTGCCATTGACTCCTGTGTTTCTCGTTCCCGATTCTCGTCGGGAACGCCACTGGCTAGTACCGTGCCTGGCCCCCAGTGCTCAATCCCTGGTAATTGGGAGGACGAAAAGGAAATCCCTCTCTGTTCCGTCCTCACCGCAGCCCTGAGCCAGGCCCTCACACGGAGGCCTCCAGAGTTAAAGGCGCTCTGAGGAGATGCAAGTTGTGTCCAAAACCTCCCACTTCCGGGTCTCCTGAACGTCCCAAAAAGTTCCTTAGGCCCTTAGGCGTTAGGCCAACCCCAGGCCTCGACTGGCCCCGCCCACTCCCCGCGGCCGGAAGTGGCGGCGCAGAGCGCAGTAAATGCGTGCCCGTAGGCGCGACCTCGGGCGGTTGGTGGGGCTACCGGGTCTTACCAGTCCGCTGCGTGAGTCCCGGAGCGGGGGTTGCCGAGGAAACGCCTCTCCGGCGTCCTTCCCCTCCCCGGGGTCCTTTGAACCTAGTTTGGCTGGGACTCGCCTTCTGGAGGCGCGGAGGATTTCAAGGCCCTGACGCGCGGCCCTGAATTTCCGGAAGTGGGGGCCGCACCGCGCAGTCAAGATGTGCTCGACGCCCGGAATGCCGGCGCCAGGGGCCTCGCTGGCCCTGCGAGTGTCCTTCGTGGACGTGCATCCCGATGTGATCCCGGTGCAGCTGTGGGGGCTGGTGGGCGAGCGGCGGGGCGAGTACCTGCGGCTGAGCCGGGAAATCCAGGAAGCGGCGGCCACGCGCGGCCAGTGGGCGCTGGGCAGCGCCTCGGCCTCGCCCGGCGAGCTGTGCCTGGTGCAGGTGGGGCTTCTGTGGCACCGCTGCCGCGTGGTCAGCCGGCAGGCACAGGAGAGCCGTGTCTTCCTGCTGGACGAGGGTCGCACCATCACTGCCGGCGCAGGATCGCTGGCGCCCGGGCGCAGAGAGTTCTTCAACTTGCCCTCGGAAGTGGTGGGCTGCGTGCTGGCAGGCCTGGTGCCGGCAGGCTGCGGCGCGGGCGCGGGCGAGCCGCAGCACTGGCCCGCCGACGCCGTGGACTTCCTTAGCAACCTTCAGGGCAAGGAGGTGCACGGGTGCGTCCTGGACGTGCTGCTGCTCCATCGCCTGGTACTCCTGGAGGTGCCCGATGTGTTCCAACAGATGCGGGAGCTGGGCCTGGCCCGGCGGGTGCCCGACAGCCTCTTCCGTTCGTTGCTGGAGCGCTATCTCACAGCGGCCACTGCTAGCGTGGGCTCTGGGGTCCCGGTTCTCTCGCGAGTCCCGCTCAAGCAAAAGCAGCCTGGTCTGGATTACTTCTATCCCCAGCTGCAGCTGGGCGTGACGGAGCCCGTGGTCGTAACCCAAGTGTGCCATCCCCACCGCATTCACTGCCAGCTCCACAGCCTCTCGCAGGAGATCCACCGCCTCTCTGAGAGTATGGCCCAGGTATACCGGGGTTCCACAGGGACAGGGGATGAGAACTGTACCAGCGCCACCTGGGAGGAGAGGGAGGAGAGCCCAGACAAGCCAGGCTCTCCGTGTGCATCCTGTGGCCTGAATGGACATTGGTACAGAGCACTCTTGCTTGAGACTTTTCGGCCTCAGCGCTGTGCCCAGGTGCTTCACGTGGACTATGGAAGGAAGGAGTTAGTCAGTTGCAGTAGCCTTCGGTACCTATTGCCTGAATATTTTCGAATGCCAGTGGTGACCTACCCTTGTGCTTTGTATGGACTCTGGGATGGTGGGAGAGGCTGGTCTCGGTCACAGGTTGGTGACCTGAAGGCGCTGATACTGGGCAAGGCAGTGAATGCAAAGATTGAATTTTATTGCTCCTTTGAGCATGTATATTATGTCACCCTGTATGGAGAAGATGGGATTAATCTGAACCGTGTGTTTGGAGTACAGTCGTATTGCTTGGCTGACCGAGTCCTTCAGAGCCAGGGAACAGAGGAAGAGGAACCAGAAACATCTCCTCAGTCTCAGTCTCCTGCTGAAGAAGTAGATGAAGAGATTTCACTCCCAGCCTTAAGATCTATCAGGTTAAAGATGAATGCCTTCTACGATGCACAGGTAGAGTTTGTTAAAAATCCTTCTGAGTTTTGGATTAGGTTGAGGAAACACAATGTCACCTTCAGTAAGCTGATGAGGAGAATGTGCGGTTTCTATTCCTCTGCCAGTAAGCTGGATGGTGTAGTTTTGAAACCTGAACCTGATGACCTTTGCTGTGTCAAGTGGAAAGAAAATGGTTATTATAGGGCCATAGTCACCAAGTTGGATGACAAGAGTGTGGATGTATTCTTAGTTGACCGAGGCAATTCGGAAAATGTGGACTGGTATGACGTAAGGATGCTGCTTCCTCAGTTTAGGCAGCTGCCAATATTGGCTCTGAAGTGCACCCTAGCTGATATTTGGCCTTTGGGAAAAACTTGGAGCCAGGAGGCAGTTTCCTTTTTTGAAAAGACTGTGCTCCACAAAGAATTAGTCGTCCATATTCTTGATAAACAGGATCATCAATATGTTATTGAGATTCTTGATGAATCAAGAACAGGGGAAGAAAACATTAGTAAGGTAATTGCCCAAGCTGGATATGCCAAGTATCAGGAATTTGAAACAAAGGAAAATATCCCGGTAAATGCCCACTCCCCAGGGCATGTTTCAAATCATTTTACTACGGAGAATAACAAAATACCTTTTGCCAAAACTGGAGAAGGAGAGCAGAAAGCCAAGAGAGAGAATAAAACCACATCTGTTTCAAAAGCTTTGAGTGACACAACAGTTGTGACAAATGGTTCAGCTGAACCAGTTGTGCAGGAAAAAGTGAAAAGAGCATCTGTTTATTTTCCTCTTATACAGAATTTCTTGGAAATTAAGCCAGGCTCCTCTTGTAAAGGAGAGCTGGAAGTTGGAAGTACAGTAGAAGTTAGAGTGTCTTATGTTGAAAACCCTGGCTATTTCTGGTGTCAGCTGACCAGGAATATACAAGGACTTAAAACTCTAATGTCTGATATTCAGTACTATTGCAAAAATATAGCTGCTCCTCACCAGGGAAACACCCCTGCTTGTTTGGCTAAGCGAACGGTAAACAGACAATGGTCCAGAGCGCTCATTAGTGGGATACAATCTGTGGAGCATGTCAATGTAATATTTGTAGATTATGGAGACAGAGAAATGGTATCTGTGAAGAATATTTATTCAATTAGTGAAGAATTTCTCAAGGTTAAGGCTCAGGCTTTTAGGTGCAGCCTTTATAATTTAATTCAACCAAATGGTCAAAATCCCTTTGTTTGGGATGTAAAGGCGATACAAGCTTTCAATGAATTTGTAGATAATGCGTGGCAAAAAAATCTAGAATTAAAATGTACAGTATTTGCTCTGGCTTCAATTAATAATGAAGAACTGTTTAACATTGTGGATTTGCTAACACCCTTTCAAAGCGCATGCCATTTCTTGGTAGAAAAGAGACTTGCGAGACCAGTAAAACTTCAGAAGCCTTTGGAGTCCTCTGTTCAGCTACATTCCTACTTCTATTCTACGCATGATATGAAAATTGGAAGTGAAGAATTAGTGTATATAACGCATATTGATGACCCTTGGACATTTTATTGCCAGCTGGCAAGAAATGCAAGTATTTTAGAACAGTTGTCATGTAGTATTACACAATTAAGTAAAGTTTTGCTGAATTTAAAAACATCTCCCTTGAACCCTGGAACCTTGTGCCTTGCCAAATACACTGATGGAAACTGGTATAGGGGCATAGTAATAGAAAAAGAGCCAAAGAAAGTCTTCTTTGTTGATTTTGGGAATATTTATATAGTAACAAGTGATGATCTGCTTCCAATACCTAGTGATGCATATGATGTCTTACTTTTGCCCATGCAAGCTGTCAAATGTTCATTATCTGATATTCCTGATCATATACCAGAAGAAGTGGTGTTGTGGTTTCAGGAGACTATTTTAGATAAGTCACTGAAGGCTTTAGTTGTAGCAAAAGATCCAGATGGAACACTGATTATAGAACTATATGGTGATAATATTCAAGTTAGTGCTAGTATTAATAAGAAGCTGGGGCTACTTAGTTACAAAGATAGAATAAGAAAAAAAGAAAGTGAAGTGCTCCCTTCTACAACTGAAAATCTTGCAGAAAAAAATGAGAATATGAAGTTGCCATGTACAGAGTATTTAAGTAAATCAGTAGGGAACAAGTTACATAATAAAGAAATTTCGGAACAGTCATATAAACCTAAGATCAACTCATCATACAAGGAACTCAGACTTTTACAAAGTTTAACAAAAACAAACTTAGTCACTCAATATCAAGACTCTGTGGGAAATAAAAATAGTCAAGGGTTTCCATTAACAACAGAAAAGAAAGAAGAAATTTGTGCTGAGACACTCTTGAAAACAGCAAGAGTAGAAGCCACTCTTTCAGAGAGAGAAATAGGAGATTCATGTGACAAAGATTTACCTCTGAAATTTTGTGAGTTCCCACAGAAGACTATAATGCCTGGATTTAAAACAACTGTATATGTTTCTCATATAAATGACCTTTCAGATTTTTATGTTCAACTAATAGAAGATGAATCTGAAATTAGTCGTCTTTCAGAGAGATTAAACAGTGTTAAAACAGTGCCCGAATATTATGCAGGTCCACCTTTGCAAAGAGGAGATGTGATATGTGCTGTTTTCCCAGAAGACAATTTATGGTATCGTGCTGTGGTCAAGGAGCAGCAACCCAATGACCTTCTCTCTGTGCAGTTTATAGATTATGGCAATGTTTCTGTGGTTCATACTAACAAAATAGGTAGGCTTGACCTTGTTAATGCAGTATTGCCAGGATTGTGCATTCATTGCTCCTTGCAGGGATTTGGGGTTCCTGACAATAAAAACTCTAAGAAAATGATGCATTACTTTTCCCAACGGACCAGCGAGACTGCAATAAGATGTGAATTTGTAACATTTCGAGACAGATGGGAAGTTATTCTTGCTGATGAACATGGGATCATAGCAGATGACATGATTAGCAGGTATGCTGTCAGTGAAAAATCTCAAATAGAACTTTCTACCCAAGTAATTAAAGGTGCCGGTTCAAACTCTGCTAACAAATCAGACGTTGACACTTCAGTATTTCTTAACTGGTATAATCCAGAAAAAAAAATGGTAAGAGCTTATGCCACTGTGATAGATGGACCCGAGTACTTTTGGTGTCAGTTTGCTGATACAGAGAAACTTCAGTATTTAGAAGTAGAAGTACAGACTGCTGGAGAACAGGTAGTAGACAGGAGAAATTGTATCCCATGTCCTTATATTGGAGATCCTTGTATAGTAAGATACAGAGAAGATGGACATTATTATAGAGCACTTATCACTAATATTTGTGAAGATTATCTTGTATCTGTCAGGCTTGTGGACTTTGGAAACGTTGAAGACTGTGTGGACCCAAAAGCACTCTGGGCCATTCCTTCTGAACTTTTGTCGGTTCCCATGCAAGCCTTTCCATGTTGCCTCTCGGGATTTAACATTTCAGAAGGAGTATGTTCTCAAGAGGGAAATGACTATTTCTATGAAATAGTAACAGAAGATGTGTTGGAAATAACAATATTAGAAATCAGAAGGGATGTTTGTGATATCCCTTTAGCAATTGTCGACTTGAAAAGCAAAGGTAAAAGTATTAATGAGAAAATGGAGAAATATTCTAAGATTGGTATTACTGAAAGTGCTCTTCCCTATGAAAATACGGACTCGGAGATAAAGCAGGCTCTTGGGTCCTGCAATCTTGATGTAGGACTTAAGAAATTAAGTAATAAAGCTGTCCAAAATAAAATATATATGGAACAGGCAGATGAGCTTGCTGAAAGAACTGAAAAAGATGTAAACAATATCGGAACCAAACCAAGTAACTTCCGTGACCCTAAAACTGATAACATTTGTGAAGGTTTTGAAAACCCCTGCAAAGATAAAATTGATACTGAGGAACTGGAAGGTGAAGTAGAGTGTCATCTGGTTGACAAAGCAGAGTTTGATGATAAATACCTAATTACAGGATTTAACACATTACTACCACATGGTGATGAAACAAAGGAGATACTAGAACTGAATTCACTTGAGGTGCCACTTTCTCCTGATGATGAATCAAAAGAATTCTTAGAGCTGGAATCTATTGAGTTACAGAATTCTCTGGTGGTGGATGAAGAAAAAGAGGAGCTAAGCCTGGTGCCACCAAGTATGCCACTCTCCCAAGAGTGTGTCACAAAAGGCGCCCTGGAGCTATTTACAGGGCAGATTCCTCTCACCTGTGAAGCTGAGAAACAACCAGAACTAGAGCTACCTACAGCCCAGCTGCCTTTAGATGACAAGATGGATCCTTTGTCTTTAGGAGTTAGTCAGAAAGCACAAGAGTGCATGTGTACTGAGGACGTGAGAAAGTCAAGTTGTGTAGAATCTTTTGATGACCAGCACAGGATGTCATTGCATCTACATGGAGCAGATTGTGATCCTAAAACACAGATTGAAATGAATATATATGAAGAAGAATTTATAGAGTATAAAAACAGGGATGACATTTCAGCATTGATGCCTTTGTTCCCTGAGGAAGAAAGCAGTGATGGAAGCAAGCACAATAATGGTTTACCAGATCATGTCTCAGGTATGTGAATTTTTTTTCCCATTTACTTTTTTAATTTTGTTTGTTTGTTTGTTTGAGGTGAGGTCTTGCTCTGTCATCTAGGCTGAAGTGCAGTGGTGTAATCTTGGCTCACAGCAGCCTCTGCCTCCCGGACTCAAGTGGTCTTCCCACCCCAGTCCAGCCTCCCGAGTAGCTGGGACTACAGGCGTGTGCCACCATGCCCAGCTAATTTTTGTATTTTTTGTAGAGATGGTTTCGTCGTGTTATCCAGGCTGGTCTCAAACTCCTGGGCTCAAGCAATCCTCCTGCCTCAGCCTCCCAAAGTGTCCTTTTACTTTTAAGTTTAACATAGTGACTTTCCAAAGTTGTTTGTTTTAAAGAAAAGAGAATAATTCTTACATGGATTTCTAAAAAATAATTTTTTGTAAGAAAGATTAAAAACCTGGGAAGTGAATCAGATTGGATTTTATGAAGGGCATTTTAAACTTGGGGAAAATATATTGTGAAATCAGTGCAAAATTTTATATGCTGGAAGAAATGCTGAAATATTAGTTTTGTGTTTAAAAATTGAATGCTTAAAATCTATGAGTCTCCAAAAGGTAATCACATTTAAAATGTAATCACATTTATAATCAAGAGGGCAAGTGTTGGTAAGTTTTATAAAACATGGTATTCCCTTGCCAAGTACTACGGTAGGCATAAATTTACAGTAAGGATTATTTTAACAGGGTCTTTTAGACTTAACTGTATCATGCATTGATCTTGCAATTCATTAGAAACCCGTAAACAAAAAAAAAAAATAGATTTAGGTAGCCTATATTAAAAAATTTGTCATGAGTAAATCTTGGAGAACATTTATTGTATTAACATTTTTATAAATTATTTTTACTGCTGTTTTCTTTGCTACTTAAAAAGAAATTTTAAATGGGTAACTTTTAGCTTTTAATAATCAATGCTATACTTTTTAAATGTCAATTTTTGGATTATGAAATTTGAACCATTGTAAAAATAAGAAAAATAATGAAATAGTGAGAATGAAAATCAACAAAAAGTGATCAATATTAACACCATGATGTATTTTCTTTTTGTTGTCTTTTACCATCTTTGTGTATGTCTACTGCATAGTTTTAAAAACAATTTAGATCATACTATCATACAGTATTGAATCCTGCATTTTAGTCCCTTTAGAAGGTGACATTGTGTTTCCTCAACCTAATCCAAAACTCAGAAGGATTTTTAACAAACTCTACCTGTATTGAATCCTGCATTTTAGTCCCTTAAAAATGCTTTCAAAATATTTTAATTGCATGGTATCCCATCCATGCAACACATAAGTTATTTAAGTATTTCCCTTGCATTAGATATTTTTTCCTCATTGTCACATTTAATAATAGTAAGTATTAACTCTGTGATAAGAATGTCTGCTCATTTGTAACACGCTGCTTTGTTATAGAAATGGCTGTTGTAAGTATAAAAGACACTTGTCTTAATAGTACCATATTTTATTAGCGATTTTCAATGTTAGAAATCAGATTCACATCCTTATGATGGTGATTTTTTTGTTTGGTTTGTTGGTTTAGAAAAGCAGTAAGAGATTATATGGGGGAGGGGCGCTAGAAGAATTTTAAACAAAATTGAGGGAGACGGTCATACCAATGTACTAATTACATGATATTGATGATATAGAAATAATGTACATTAGGAAAATGCTTTGCTTGTGTATGTTACATTAAGGAATTAAGAGATATGCATTGAGTCTTAATTCGATTTGGCAGCTCAACCACAGAACACCTACACTCTGAAAGCCTTTACTGTTGGATCTAAATGTGTTGTGTGGTCAAGTCTAAGAAACACATGGTCTAAATGTGAGATTTTAGAAACAGCTGAAGAAGGAACAAGGGTAAGTGACGTTTAAGTTCTTTATCTCCAAATGTATTTGCAGACTATTAAGGAAATTTTACCAGACTCTGTTAGACTAGAGAATGCGATTGAACAAATGTTTACCTGCTTGTTCCCCCTGGTAATTTGATGTAATGCACAAATATTTTAAATCTCCATATATAAGAATCGTAGCAAGAAATCATCCTAGGCTGTATCATCTATCTCTCTTACTCTTTCTAAATTCTGTTAGTCACCTAGTTCCACACTTTACACATCTTACCTCTTAGTTGGAATTTTTTATATCTAGTGCCACTACCTTAGTTGAGTCATTTCACAGCTACATTCCTCTAATAACCTTCTATTTTGTTTGCTGCTTCTAGTCTTCTTTAAATTGATGGTCCACAGTGTCAGGGTGAAGTTTGTAAAATGCAAATTTCTTTACATCATTATTGTGTGAAACTTATTAGGGACTTCCAGTTGATTGTGTTTCTCCCGTGATTTGAAAACCACCTGTTTGAGAATTACCTGGTGTATTTTTTTAATTGTATTATAGATTCCTAGGCCTTGGCCTGGCCTGCTAATTCAGAATTTCTGGGGTTAGAATTCCAGAATGTGTATTAATATTCCATTAAAATTGGAGAGCCCCTGACCTGGAACATAAAAGTCAAGCTCATTAACATGGCATAGGAAATCCTTTAGGGTTAAGTGTTTATGTACTCTCTTTGGCCATAATTCTTTATATTTTGTACTTTATATTAGATGGACATCAAACTTCTTGACTTCTCTTACATATACAATCTGCTTGCTGTTTCGATATATTTAATAATTCAGTTCTATTTTACCTATATTCCATCCTGTTACCAAACTGGTTAATTCCAATTTACTTACCCATTGCCTCTACCAGGGAGCCATTCACTGACGTTGTTTTCTAAATTTATCCTTGTCCTCAACCTTCCCCCCGTCCCAAAAAGGCCTTATTTCTGTATTACATTCCTATACCCCTTACTGCTGAAGTCTGTACTTCTATGGTGTATTGTAATTATCTGCTTAGAGGTCTTTCCTCTGCTAGATTTTGAACTATTTGATGTTGAAATTTTATCCATCTTTGATCACCAGTCATAGATATTCTGTATATGTTTGGGAAACTGAAGTAGCATGGAGTTTGAAACATAAGGTTGAAGTTCAATAAATTCATTTTCATTGTTTTTTATATTTCATTTTAGGGCCAGGTGCAGTGGCTCATGCCTGTAATCCCAGCATTTTGGGAGGCCAAAGCAAGTAGATTGCTTGAGCCAAGGATTTTGAGACCAGACTGGGCAGCATAGTGAAACCCTGTCTCTACCCAAAATACAAAAAATTAGCTGGGCATGGTGGTGTGCGCCTGTAGTCCCAGTTATTTGGGAGGCTGAGGTGGGCAGATTGCCTTGAGCCCAGGAGGTCGAGGCAACAGTGAGCTGTGATCCTGCCACTGCCCTCCAGCCTGGGCAATAGAGCAAGACCCTATCTCAAAATAATAATAACAATGGTATTTTATTTTTAAAATAATTGCTCTGGTACATAAATCAGTTATTTTTTTGAATTGGACACTTAAAAAAAAAAAAAAAAAACTTGTTTTTTGCTGTAGGTTTTGAACCTTTCAAATGGTATGGAGGAGATAGTGAACCCTGAGAATGTCTGGAATGGCATACCCAAATCGGATAAGCGTCCACCTGAGGTATGGAATTGTATGAGTAGTAATTAGTGCATTGTTCTTCATTTTGAAAGGTGATTTAACAAATTATTTCCAAAGCCCTTGCGTTTGGAAAAATGGGAGAAAAATCCTGTGACAATAGTTAAAAGCAGCAATAACAAAATGGATGATTTTGGTCCTTATGCCAAGTATTCTCTGAGAAAACTAGTTATTAATGTTTTACTCCTTGATTAGAAAATGTTTTGGTGTTCATGACTCTTATAAAATATATATTAGATGCAGAAAACCTGGGAAATATGGCAATATTAAAAACGAGAAAGTAACAATCACCTGTAATATACCCATCCAGAGACAAGTAGGTTGACCAGTTTGGTTTTCTTTTATAATTTTTCTGTTTATATGTAATGTAAGTATTGCATCTACATAGTTTAGACACAATTGATTTCATCCTATGTGTAGTTTTATATTTTGATTTTCTTCATTTAAGACGATATGGTGGGCAATTTGCCATGACATTATGATGTGTCTGGGCATTTGAATTTATCCTGTTTGGGGTTGGTTGAACTTCTTGAACTTCTCACTTCATAATCTTTGTCTGATAGTTTTAATATCTGGTCCTCTTGGGGTTTGTAGCTGTTGATTTTCTTTTCTCTAGAGAAATGGTCAGCTTTTCTTGGTTCTTTGTATGTTGAGTAATTTTGGATTATATCCTGAACATTTTGCATATTATGTTTTAAGACTTTGGGTCCTGTTAAAATCTGGAGAATGTTGAAGTTTTTGTTATAGCAGATGATCAGCTGGTTTCAATTCATACCACATGTTCTGTTTCTCCTTCTATAGTTGGTGATTCTCCTGTCGGTTTAGTTTTCAAAGCCTTTGCTGTTCAGATCCTCCCGGTACATAAGCCACCCAGGGTAGTCATGGACTTTGGTCAGTGGTTTATATAGTAGTTAGGTGTCAGAGACTTTGCTGTGCTTATTTGGCTCTGTTCTGCATGTGCATAGCTCAGGGGCAATCCTGAGACTTAGAGTTCACGTGTAGCATTAGGAATTAAACATTTTCAACTCTTTTCCTCTCTGAGATGTTCTCCACATTTTCTGGCTCCCAGGATCCTCTTTTATCCAGCCTCCAATGGCCCCTTTTTCTCATCCCCTAGCCAGACAGTATTTTTCTCTCAACCTCTGTTCCACCACACAGTTCTGTTTGATTGCGCATAAGAAGCAGATAAAGAGATAACAAAAACAATCTCCTATTACTACTCTTCAGACAACAGAAAGCTCTTTTCCTGGTTCCAATGGCTAGAGAGATGGGTCATCTCTTACATTTGTAGGTGCCTATGTTGCCATAGCTGTCACCAGGCAGTAACTGGGGTAGCCACCCTCAGGGCAGGGCCAGAAGAAAAACAGAAAAAAAACATAACACCACAATACAGCAAAGAGATTTCCTACCTATTTCTTACTCTCTAGCATTCAGGGTTCCTTTATCCCTAGTCCACTGACTATAAATAAGAAATTTCTCTCAGAATTTTACTGTCTACCCTAGCTGGGCAGTTTTGATTTGGCCCACCCTCAGATCAAAATCAGGAGACAAAGAAGTAAAAAAAAGAAAAGGCCTGTGAAACTCACTCTTGTTGTGAGTCATTATTCACGTTTTTACTTTAATTCTTAATCTACCTATTCCTGTTCACTTTTGAATCTTTGAGTAGTTGCTTTTTATATTCTGTCTAGAATTTTTCATTGTAATCAGTGATAGAGAGGTTATAGTCAGCTTATTCCATCTTGGCTGCACTCAGAAAGCCATAAACAATATTTAATAGCTGAATAATGCTGCATGACACTAGTGAACCATAATGTAGTAAATATTTTCTGTAGTGTTGGATATTTAGGTCATTTGAAATTTTTACTATTAAAAATCATTGAACATCTCTCTTTACATTATGTTAATTACTTTTTTGCTTAGGTCAGAAATAACAGCCTACTACACTTTTTGCGTCAGTATTTACTAAAACTTTTTACATTCAGGTTGTCTCCATCCATTAATTATGAAGAATCCAGAGCCAAATGCATACATATGTACATACAAGATTCAGTTGGATAAAGTTCTCTATGCCTGCCACATAGAAAAGAACTATTTAGGACTATTAAAAGTAAACATAAAATTGTGTATCTAGATAAGTAAATAGATAACTACCTCTGGCTTTGACTAAGCCAGTTAGGCGACATATAGAAATTACTTATGAGTAAGGCTCTAAAATTTTTTGATTTGGTTACTAATGAGATTTAAATATCCTTCCCTCAAATTTGAGGAAGCTCTTAAATCTGGATACCTGTCTACAAATGAGCTAACTTTCCTTACAAAGTGAATATTGTATTATGCATGACTTTTTTATGATACATCAAGTCACTATGATCTAGGAATCTAATTACATTTTTAAAAAATGGTTTCTCATCTGAGTTATTTTATTTTACCATAAGAGTATCTTGTTAATTAGTTTCTGTATCACATAATGCATGCATATGTTGCTGTTGGTTGTTAAAAGGAATATAGGAGAAATATTTCCCTTTTCATTGTCTTTAATAAAGCATCTGTGGCTCTACATGGATACTGTGTTTGAATAACAGCCCCTTGAACAATGATGTGCCTCCCCCCTTCACCAATTACCAGAGTTGTTGGGGGTTTGGGAGCTAAACATTGGAAAAGGGTACTTTACGCCCCATGTAGAGTGCTCCAGGGGTATGTTCTAGAGAAATGAGTATTTGAAGAATAGAAAACGTACTTCACGTGATCCTCATTATAAAATCAGATTGTCATAATTTTGATAAAAATACATTTTGTTGTTTACATCTTTTCTGGCTTATCTGTGATTCTATTTCTGATTTGAATTATTTTGTGCTCATGATAAAGAATCAATAGCAATTCAAAGATTCCTTTTGTTAGACTGTATCCGAAAGAGTAGGGAAAGATCTTTACTTCATGTCATCAGGTGATACCACAATTAAAGGTAACTTGTGTTTTTAAAACAAAATACTTTTATCACCCAGAATTACAATCTCTTAAAAATACTGTTATGCTGAATCCCTCAAATAAAAATGGTTTATCAATTTCTCTGGACATAGGTAGCAGGGAAGAAAAACCACTTTAGGTAAAAAAAAGTTTGAATATACTTATGGGAATAAATAACCAAAATGAGGATTTCTTGAAATATAGGAAATTTGTTAATTGATCTTGAAAGTTAAATTATGAATGTGATAAATTCACATTTTAAAGAATTTTATCTGTTAATTAACTCATATGTTCAAATGATCTTTGTTAAATAATCTCTTGGAATTTTTGAATCTTTATATAAGATTCAAATTATTGGTTGGTTCTTGGTATTGCACATTCTTGTTCATAAATAATGCAATGTTCTTAGAAATGAGGCACGTTGAGAATAAAATCAGCTCATGATAGCTTTAATATCATGTGAAAAATATATATTAATCAAAAAGGACAAAGAACTAATTGATTATCAGCCTCGTTCACACCATTCTAGCAAAATATAAAGTATGCCAATTTCATAATTTTTAAGAGAAACTTGATTTGATGGTACAGTGTGAGAACCAAAATATTAATAATAAAACATTATTTCTATGGAAATAATGCCCTGTAGTAACTAGAATACTCATCTGTCCCCCCTCCCTTTTAGAGAACATTACATTTGTCACGGTAACACCCGTGGAAATAAATTTTTTTGTTTGTATGTTTCTTTCTCAGTTTGAAGTTTTTCTCTTTTTGTTTCAGAAAAGGGGTTTGGAGGTGATGGAGATTTAATTGTGGATCTATAGCTGTGGCCAATCAGTCAGAAGCTGCCCTCGAACAAGTGGCATCATACCCAGACCGACAGAATATTTGAGAAAATTGAAAACATGTAACCACAGGAAGTTGTTATTTTCAAAAACTTTTATATGGGTGGAAAACAAAATAGGTCTCAGGTTGACAGTGGAGTGTATTTATAGTGATACTGTTGTATATACGGATCTGGGATCTTTCCTTTTTATTGTCTTATGTTTCTAATTAGTTGGAAGGATTTATTTTGCTAAACAGTTCACTAACACATTACATTTCAAAGAACTATTTTGGTACCTTTCAAATACAGTGTTTACATTAAAATAGAAAAATAAAGCCTCATCACAAGTACATTATTTGATTCTACTTAGGATAGCTTTTTAGCAGGATCTCCTACAGAATTTTTGTCTTGATTTTGAATCTTTGCCTGTTTGTCTAAACATTTGACTAACATTCTGTTTGAATTTGGAAGTATTCTAATACAAGATTTGAATAAAGTTTATCCTTAAATAAAGTTTATCCTTAGTATGATGGTCTCAGTTTATTAAAAAGGAAATAGAACTCTTAAATATACTTGGTTCCATCTCTCCTCTATAATGGAGGATTGGGGAAAGCATAGTAATATTAAATGTTAGTTCTTATGTATTAGTCACTTAACTTGTACTTTAAATGCATTTTTTCACTTTAATCATCAACTTTGAAGTGCATATCAATATTATCCATATTTTATAGGTGAGAAAATTGAAGCTTCATAGAGAGGTTAAATAACTTGCCTAAGGTCAGATAGCTAATGAGTCTCAGAGGCTTGATCAAGCCCAGACCTACCTAACTTTAAAGCCCATGACTTTTTAAACATGATTTTGCAAAGTATAGATCTTAGCTTTTGGAAACAGATCTTAGCTGTATGCTGCTTAACAGATATGTGACATAGGCAAATTATGTAATCTTTTGAGATTTGATCTTCTCCATCTGTAAAGTGGTGATGATAAAACCTTTCTTGCAGTGTTTTTTAAGATTAGAAATAATTTATATAAAGTCCCTGAAAAGGTGCAGGCATTTGGTAATTGTTTCTTTTCCCTGAAAAATACTCAGTGTGCACTATGTTAGGTTATTTCTTTTTAACCTTAACTTATTAGATATTTTCAATAGTTATTTTCTCCTTTCAGCATCAGCATGCACCACCAACAAAAGAGATTGTAAGAAAAAAAAAAAAAGTGTTGAATGGCACATCCATACAGTTGGAATGTTTCTAAAATGAATGGGGAAAAAAGGTTTGCTAAATGAGACTGGGGTAAAGGTGTATCTCTGTGAAGCATTATCAGACTCTGAAGCCTAATGGAAATAGAATTATGAACCTTAAAAACCAGGCATAATTTCAGTAAGTAGAAGGGAGAGAGGTTTGCATTAAAAGTAATTGAGGTAGATGGGTATATTATTTACTCCTGGAATAATGAATAAACAAGTTTGGCTTACTCGTATAGACAATATAATGTGAATTGTCAGGAGCGAAGCTCAGAGAAGATGTGTTAGGGTCAGATTATAGGAAGCCTTCAGTTTCAAGCTGAGTTTAACTCCCTATTTTAAAAAATTTAATCTGAATGGCTACAGAGGTAAAATTTCTCAGAATTAGTGACTTTGCACCTGACGCCACTAAGATAGGACTAGGATACCAAATGAGTGGTAAAAATTTTTATATCCCTTGGGAAATAAAATCATTTTCCATGATTCCCATATTTATAAGTGTATAAATTCTTAAGCTATATTTTTACCTCCATTTAATTGTGTTACTCTGTTTTACTACTACATATAGAATTGAAAACATAAAATTAATTGGAATATGAAGAAACTAAATGTAATTCTGAATGTTTTATTATCCTTCACAGCCTTTGTGTGAGTAACTAATGTATTTTAACTGGAATCCTTGCTATATGCTCTAATACCTATGGAACCTTTCTTTAGTAAGTAGAATGCCTTAAAGAATTAAAGAAAATGCCAAAAATTACCAATTTTCTCTAATCCACTGCCTTTGCCTCATCTCTAATATTCTTAACCCTTCTCCATTCCTCATTTAATCATCATTTGAATTTGTGTAGTACCACCAATCCTGTGCTGAAACAATGGGCTTTTGCTTGTTCTTACCATGACCAAAAGTCAAAGAAAAGTGCTGCCAAATTCTACCTAGAATATCGTGTTGCTAAAATTAAACTCTACCACCCATAGTAGATAATAAAAAGCAAGAAATTCTGTTTTTACTGTATGTTTAGAGGGTCTTGTATCATTGCAACAGGTTTTCACTGGCATTTTGCCTGTTTTAATCTACTTGTCTGTCAAAGTAATGTAAAAGCATGTTTTAACTTCGACACTAAAAAGGAAACATCTTTGTAAAATTAAAATTTAGGCTGATATGAACGTTGTATGCTGTATTCTTTCTTTACATCTAAAGGGAAAAAATTCTTAGTCCAAGCTTCAATCACGATTACAGTATAGCCTATATTTTAAAATATGAGTCCTTTGGAAAAATACATTAAAAATCTCTCTCTTTCTCTCTCTCTCTCTCTCTCTCTCTCTCTCTCTCACACACACACACACACACACACACACACAATTTTAGGCAGTTTTGAAGCAAGACTTTTAAAACTGTTTTAATCCTAATTCTAATTCTCTGTTCCTGAAGAGCTCTGTAACACGATGTGTTGATTGGTTGTATTAATGTTGGTCCCCGGGATAAGATTCTCATCATCTCCTTCAATCAAGCAGTCCCACTGATCAAAATCTTTATGAAGTCCTGTAAAATACAAAGTGTTAATGAACATATTAAACTTTTGAGAGCATTAAACAGTTTGGTGCCCCTAGGTGGCAATACAGATTTACACATTACCCAAGTTGCATTAGGATGGTAGAGACAATGCTCTGTTTCAGCTGCCCCATGGCTGCTTTAGCAGCTGAATGCAAATGGGATAGGAGTGAGGCAACCTGCTGTCAGTATCCTCAACATGGAAGTCCACTCTAGGCTTCATACAAAGACTATTAGCTTTAACAGTTGGGTTTGCTTTCTATAATATATATGATGTAAAGCAGCAAAATTGACTCTCAAATTTCTGTTTTCAAATTGATTTACTGCTTTGTTCCATTGTAAACCAACTGGAAATAGTTTAAATGGTACTAAAGCTGTATTAAGATAGACAGGTTTGTCCTGAGATTCATCTGGTTTATTTCATGAAAAAATATTAGTTTCTTACCTAAATGCTTTTGTAAGAATGCTAATGAAGCTTTGTTGCTAAGATCAATCGCTACATCTGAATCTATATCTCCCTTTAATTTGAGCATGCGTCCAATTATTTTGCCAGTTGCAAAAGTGAAGTCAGCAAAATTCTGATGGACTGAACCCCTAAAAGAAAACAAGACATTTAAAAGTCACATTGGTTGATAAAATTATTAATTTTTTAGTTAGGGTGTAAGAAAGATACGGGTCTTGTTGGTCTGTTTACTGAAAACCAAGGAAGAAATAAAACTTGTAATTTGATCTACTTAGATGTATTTCAAGGGTCACAGGCTGTTTGTTTAGGGATCCCAGAGTATATTCATCTTCCCTCTAGAAAAACAAAGAATCTTGGTCTTGCTTGGTATCTTGATTTTAGAAGAAATGACTCTTGCTTTTTAGTGAATTGGAATACTTCCAATTTGTGTGTTGAGGGTCCCTGAACTCACAGCCAGAGCCTGCCACCTGCCCTCACCACTGAACATGGTATGTATTTGATGCTAGTCACTTTAAATTTAAATCACTTTAGATTTAAGCCTTAGAGGAAATAGATTTCAAACAACACCTTTCCCAGTTTTAAACTGTAAGCACTTTATAAATATCATTTGCACTGCTCTCTACATTCATCAATAGCCTAATGTCAAATAGAATGGCCCTTTTTTAGTCCTTATTTTCTACCACCACTGGGACATTTGACACTTGATGGCTTTCTTGCACTTTTTTTCTTTTCACTTCCTTAACGTTACACCTTCCCTTCTGACACTAACCACTCTATGTTCTTCACTGGCTCTTCACCCATTTCCCACTGGCTGAAAGTAGGCATTCCTTACGATTCTATTGCCAGACCAATTCTTTTCTCACTTTGCAATCTCTTCTACTTCAAATGTTTCATCTGTGTTATCATGTAAGTTATATAATCATCCAGTTTGTGGCCAGACATCTATAAACGGATTCCCCTGTTCTCAAGCTAAGAAATTGTGAAGTTAAAAGACATCTTCCCAGCCCCACCCAAAGCTACTCTGCCTCTTGACTCTGCTGGTTCTTATAAGCAAACCATCATTCTCTTAGTTTTCTAAGCTCAAAATAGGGCCACTTAACTCCCTCTCACTCTTCCCCACATTGTAGTAGGAAACTTGAATGTCAGAAACATAAAGAAGATAAACGGCAGGATTACAAGAGAATTGCGAGCAGAAGCTTGGATGCTCTGACTGTGGAGAACTGGCTGGAGGAGGAGAAATGGAAGGAGCAGTATTAATGACAGGAGAAGCAGTAAAGAGGAGGGTCATAGTAGCCAAGGGAGCAGGAAGAGGGGTGGTCAGCAATGTTGAACAGATGCAGAGAGCAAGGTTGAGATTCTGAAGAGGCTGCTGGTGTGGCATGCAGCAGGCCTTTAGTGTCTTTGTTTTGGCATGCCGGTGGGGGCCCAGGAAGCTAGACCATAAGACTCAAAGAGTGAGTAGAAGTAAGCACATGCAATAACTAATATTTGTTATTCTTTGACAGTTTCTAGCAGAGAAGGGAAGAAAGAAAAGGTGAGAGCCTAGCAAGGAAGTAGGGTTGAGGGAGGGTTAGGTGCTCTGTATTATTTCCGTTTTAGAATTAGAGAGACTTGCACATACACATACGCTAAATGAAGTCCTTGCCTGAAATACCTAAACCCTTCCTTACTATCTAAACTCTCTTGATCGAAACAAAATCCAATTTTAGTATCATCTATGAATCCTTTTCCGTTGGAAGAGACCCCTCTATTCTCTGAGCCCATAGTGGTTATTGCCTATACTCTGTATGTTTCCTTCTTGCCTCTTCTCTTCTCCTAAATAAACCAGATTTCAGATAGGAAAGGGCTGAGTTCAGGTCCATATTTGCTTTGTAATATCTCATTGAGAGTTCAAAACCTTATCAGGAGTTCTTTTTCACCTCCAGGATACAAGAATTGCCAACACTTGATGGTACCCCATTATAGCTTTGGGGAATTTATAAACTCATATTCTTTCTCAACAGGTAAGTATATTGCAGGTCTCGATAGATAATCTGACTTTTTCTTTAAAGAGTTCCTAGCCCAGCTTAATGATGAAATACTTCCCCCTAGCTCTACCCCCAAAAATCTGTAGGCATGTTCTGATGTTTAGATTAAAGTAGTATATAGTATTATGCTAATTTTAAAAATTACCAGTGATACAGTTTGGATCTGTGTCCCCACCAAATCATATGTCAAACTAGAATCCCCAGTGTCAGAGGTAGGGACTGGTGGGAGGTGATTGGATCA